TTGTTCTTGTTCTTGTTCTTGTTGTTCTTGTTCTTGTTCTTGTTGTTCTGGTCGTTCTGATTCTAGTCGTTCTAGTTCTACTTGTTGTTGTTTTTATTAGTGTTGTTCTTGTTTTTCTGGTCATTCTAGCTGTTCTCCCGGTTATTATTGTTATTCTTTTTCTTGTTGTGGTTGTGACCGTAGTTGTTGCTGCTGCCGCTTCAACTGTTGCGATGCCGCCGCCGCTTCTGCTGCTGCTTCTGCTGCTTCTGTTGCTGTTGGTTGGGGTGGTCGTAGTCGTGGTAACACTATGTTATCATGGTAGCAGGATTCGTCGTTTTGCCATCTCCGCCCCCAGTGTCACCACTGGCACGACGGACGATCGGAAGCAACGGTGCTCTCGTAGGGCTGCTGCGAGATTCCCGGCCAAGCCGCAAGCCACAGCTAAACCAAAGGAGCCGGTCCTGTCATGAGTGAATCAGGTTGCATGGCACGAATCGAAAACATTGCCCGTCTTAGTATTTAGGGATTGATTCTGTTCGGCACCAGTTGGAAAGCCCAGCCCAGGCGGGGGCTGAACTGGCCTCTGCGTGTTCGGACCGGCATTGTCAGATCGCTTGACCCTACGTTCACAGCGGAGAACTGAACAAAGGCAGAAGTGGTAGGTGGAAAACCCCAAAGCCAGCTAGCCGCGGGTAGCCAGCCGTTGAACAATAACTTTTCGCAAAGCCTCCATTTCTCAAACTATTTCCATACATACATACACATCTGCACCTGGAATTAGCCTCAATCATCCCAGGTACCATGGAGCTCACGAATTTTGTCTCCGTCATAGTTTCGGCCCCAGAAGAGGAGAACTACACAGCATCAATGTGTGTGGCAGTTGTTTGGTGTATTGAAGCGGCAAGTGACATTCGGCGAAAAGAGGCGTCAGGAAACAAACGGAACCTCCCATACAGTTCCTTGGATTCCGCTGTACATTTGTGGCTTCGCACTCCGGAATTAACTCACGTCCTTGACCATGGGGGTGTCCCTTCTACACAAGCTGCCGAGAGCGGTTTGAGGCTACCAGTCCAAGCCTTTGCAAGCGTACGATCCAGATGAACATATGCGGAAATGTCGCATTCTGTCGACTCCAGCCGAGGTGTTTTCGTCACTGAGTTTTCTGACGCTTCTCGTCGACTTTGTGTTTGGCGACATGTTCATGCAAGCTGGCAGCAAGCTTTGCCAGTGAAACGAGCTTAGGACGGGGCTCAGCTTGTGTCCGTCTCTGCATTGGCATGAGAAGCCGTTTCAACAAAGTATCTTGCCGGGGTTGTATACTAGGAGGCCAGGGCCTCATCCTTGCGCAAGTCCTCAATGTCCAAGCTTCGATAATTGCCCAGCGTAAGTACAGAATTGGGCTCGCGCACATCTCACTTGTAGAAAGTCCCTGCAATCATCAAATGTATCTGGACACCCACGTTCATCGAGATGCATACCGCGTGGGACACTTTGCTTCCACAGCGGCTGCTTTCTGGAGCGAGCGAGGCTTTGGTCTTATCGCTTCGAGTGTAGCTACAAGGCGAGCTTCCGAGCTTCCAGGGGCCTCAGGCTTTGGGTTGCTCCAGGTGCGGGCACGCTCTTCAGATGTCTCCCTTTCACGGCTCGGGGATTTCGGTCTGGAAACGACCCGGCCACAATCTTGGAGTTTTGGGGCCGAAGTCGCTGCTGATGGACGCGGTAGGATCTGAATTCCTGTACACATGTTCTGCTAGTGTTTGACACCGACCTGCTGACTTCAACGGCAGACTTCTTGGTCAATGTGGGCTGAGCTCTGTTCCTGTCTTGCTAACCCATGCATAACTGCATAACCATGTAGCAGCCATCTCATCCCAGTCATCACCAGTCATCCACACACCGTGAGCTTTGGGATGGTAAAGCCTCTTTGTCTCCAAGCCGCCACTGAGGGAGCTACATGTCAGTTGTCTTTGAATTATGTGTTGCGCTGTGCTGAGATCGATTCAGCTTCGTTGGTGATGTGAATATATGTGTCCATCGAGTATCGCAGGTTCTCGATGAGCTTCCAGACCGTGTCTTTCTGTGTTCTCGTCGTGGAGCTGCACATCTGGATGATGTCATGGGTGCTCGATTGGCGACTCCCTGCTCGAGTTAGGCTGTGGAGCGAACTTCGCTTCGTGATCGGCTGGAGAGAGCGGTTTTAGCTGGCTCAGGCCAGTTTTGACTGGGGTGCTTAGGGCTTTCAGTGTGTCGTAGAATTATTGGCATCCAGCCATTAGCAACCGGCAAGCTTCCCAGAGCCATTGCTACTCTCCTAGCACGAAGCTGCAAGCATCCCAGAGCCCAAGAGCCCAGGCCCCAACACCAACACCAGTCCAAAGCTCCACCGCAAACTCTGCCTACGGTCGCGCTTGTTCCAAGGATATCGACGGAGGTGACGGGCAGTGCCGCCTTGCTGCAAGCTCCCACGCAGTGGCGACCCTGCTTCAGGGTTCATAGCACTCGGCTGTTTGGGGATCCATCGGGCGGTTCCTTGCTGGATCTTGGAACAGAGATGCATATTTCCAGGACGAGCTCAGGATTCGATTTCAAACTCTATGAGGGTTTGCTGGGTTTACCGTTGGAGACCACTTCAACGGCACCTGGCCTTGGTCAATGCTTACACGACTGATGTGTTTCAGAACACTGGCCAGCCATGCTTCGCCACTTCCACCAGGGTCACCAGCCTTATACACCTTCGCAGGTTGCAAGCTGAAATGACACGCCTCGTTTCGCAAGGGTGCGCTGTGAAATAGGACTGCATGACTTGCCTCATCCGCCTTCCGATCGAGATTGGCTTGCAGGCGTGGGATCCGCGGTATTCGCTGATTGCCGACATCAGGCCCCTCGGCATGTGCCGTCTCTACTCAGGTTTCTGTAGACTTTACATGACTTTACTGTAGAAGATGCAGAGAGGGCCGTTCTTGCAGGGTGTAGATCTGCCACATGGACGGGTGACTGCTGCCATGCTCTTCATGTTGTCCTCCAAACTTATAAGTTCGAGGAAGAGCACTCTGGGTCTCTAGGACTCTAGGCAGCATATGGGTACTTTCTCCCTTGGCCGGCCCCAAGACTTGCCCAGCAAGATGTACAGGGGCCTTCTGTGCGAGCTTCGGCGGCCTCGGTTAGAGGAGCTCCAGGAGTTGATAGAGGCGAGCTGTCTCCGGTGTGTTTGGGGGGGGGGGGGATGCATGTCACGCGAGATGGTTCAGGACCTGGAAGGTTTAACTTGACGAAAGCACCTGCACCCGAGCGTCCTTCTCGCACAGAAAGCTTTCAAGCGCCAACTCCCACCGAAAGGTTCAGCAAGACCTTGCTATATTGCCGCGAAGCACTAGGTTAGGTTGGAGACATTGCAGCTTGGTTGTTCGATGGCAGTCGGAAGGGCGGTCATCTCCGCTCCAGATGCATGGCAGTCATCCTTCAATGACAACTAACGGCCTGAATCATCCTCTGCCAGACCTTCCAAGAGTCGCAAGAAGACTTCGGCTTCTTTTCGGTCAAGTGCTTCTCGAGCGATCGGCCGAACTATGCAGCACTGGAGCCGGACCGATGCTTTGTTGGCCTGCTTGAGGCTTCAGGTATCTTTGTCTTGATGCCTTCAGGCAGTGCATCATAGCCTGCGCACAGAAACCGTCCCGAAGTCTGGCGCAGGATATTCCAATCCGGGACCTGGAAAAAATCATCGAGATTCACCGGAAGCAGTATCCTTGGACCTGGAGCGGCTTTGCTGAGTTGAGGGTTGTGAAGACGAACAGGTTCAAGCCTGCCATTCAAAGATGGCAGTCTGTGCTTTGAGGGCATGGCTGGCTTTCATCAATGTATGTGTGTGTGTGTGTGTGTGTGCGTGTGTGTCTGTCTGTGACTCCAAGTCCAAGCACCGCAGGTCCAATGGCACGAAAGCAGGGCCCACCCAGCTCCAAGAACAGTCCAAGAATCATTTTGGACTCTGTGAAGCGGGAACTGTACTCTTCAATGGGCCTAACTCTAGAACGTTGCCAAGCTGTAGATGTTGGTGTAAGTATGTTTAAGTTTTGCTCATTCACGGGCGGTTGAACCTCGCTTAGGTCCGAGCTGTTCCGCTTCGAGCGGAAATCTTGCGATTCCGTAGCACTTCAGTTCTGAGTGGCTCTATACTTGTTTTTCCGTGTGTGACCGTAGAACGTTTGCGACTTCAGCTTGAAGGTCACCCATTTCACTGCACCAGGATCCTTGTATGGCAAGTACCTTACGCGGGGCAGGTCCTGCGTCCACTCAGCTTGCACGAAACGTAGTGGTTTTCCCGTACTGTCAGGCTGAGTGTAAATTCTTTCTTCTCCGGAAACGGGCCTTGGACAATCCGAGCTTAATGTCCCGGAAGCCTCCGACGCAGCGTTCCTCACCCAGCATTGAGGCATGATCAGCAAGCCCGATCTGAAATTTCCGGAACGCCGGGGCGCGGAGGTCCTGGAGTTTAAGACTCTTGGCCAGTTCAGAGAAACGAAGGGCGGACGGCGCATCCTGAAAGGAGAGACCCGAAGGCCGGCACCCTGCCGTGTTCAGGCATAAACGGGTCGGGGTCACGGGGTGCGCCCCGCTGAGGGTTAGGAACTCCAGGGTCAAATGCGCATGGCAATTGTCTAAAGTTCTGGGTCAGAAGTTCGAAGGTTGCATTTCTTGATTTCTGGTCTTTTCATCCGAGGTGCCGGGCCGGGGTCAAGTTGAAACTCTTGACTGCTAGCAGCAGTGTCCCACATGTTGAATGCGTGGTTTCTGTTTACATAGCATCAGCAGCTTTGACAGCACGGAGTCTGTGCCAGCACAAGCTCGTGGCGGCCAAGGAAGGCACTGCTGGCGCAGTAGATGTCTCCACTGCACTTCAGCGCATTGAGAGATTACCGGCCTTTAGCAGACATGGAGAAACGTCGTGTTGATCGGAGGCACATGTCCGGTAGTTTATAATGTTGGTGCAGAACTGCGCAAGCTCCATTACAGATTGGGACACGTTTGCAAGACACGATACCAAAGGCCACAGTCCCTTTTGCAACGCATGTTGGGGTGCATTGTCTCACCCAGTATCACGTTCAGCACCTGCCAACAGCTCGATTGGGCTCGGACAGCAGGGGATGCTTGCTGCGCGGATGTTCCCTTCACACCAACATCTAGAGTCAGAGCAACTCACCGCTGGCCATGATTGCTGTCTGTTCATGCCTTGACTTGAGAAGGTGAGCATTCTGTCCCCAGGCCGCAGCGCGCAGAGAAGAAAAAAATGCCGACTGGCCATGCTACATGCTCTGTTGTGGGTCTTGCTGCCGCATTCATCCGGAGTATGCATCCGGCTCCCTCACGTAGACTACATAGATGGCACGATAGGCATCTTGCGGCTGTGGTCATTCAATAACTTGTTGCGTGAAGTTTTAGACAATATGGTTTGCTCGCACGCTTTTGCGCACTTTGTGCCTTCAGACAACTAGGCATGTTATTACAAGATCCCTGGCTTCCGGCATGCAATCGGGTCGCCGTGTACAGTACAAAGGTAGTCGAGCAACCTCTGCAGCCCTGTAGAGTTCTCGGAAAACGTGACAACCCCAGGTCGGATACTGCAAAGCTCACACCNNCCCCCCCCCCCCCCCCCCCACGAAAGGCAGGGCATTGCAGCTCCTTCATGCACAGCCCTTAGCCAAGGTTCCGGCGCTACACCTTTATTGGCGGCCGCCGAGAAGGGCTTCTCCCAGCTGACAGGGAGTCGATGCTTGCATGTCCCCCTTGTTTGTCTCTAGTCTCAGCTGCCCTCAACTGCAACAGTGGCCTTGTGAAGGCATGTTGAAGGGGTGTTGTGGTGCTTTGCTTTTCAAGGGTTACGTTGGTTGTTGAAACGGCTTGGTCTTAGAATTTGTGGCTGTTGGGTGGAGGAGTTGATCCGGTTGATTTCCATAGCACGCGGAATGCATCCTGAACCTAGGGGGTGAACTGTTTCAACACTCACAGAATCTTATGACTGGCTCGTGCAATACAAAGAGTATGCATTGCCCCGCCCCACCGACCGGACGTTCAAGAAGACAAGTTTGTCTGGCTTACGTCATGGGTGTGACAAGCAAATTCGTGTTAACACCTTCAGAGCTTCGTAGTGCCATGCTCGGATCCTGAGCCGTCCGATCAATTCCCAGCCTTGTGTCTTGGAGAACCAACGCGACCGCTGTAACGGAACTATAAAAGGAGCAGGTGTGTGTTTGTCTGTGTGTGTGTGTGCATGTCACTGCCTTGGCTCGACATAGCTTTCAAACAAGCCTGCCGCAGGACCCTGCTGCGTCTTCGCGCCAACCGCTCTGTGACGGATTTCGAGGATCAGCCGTACGGCCGGGGAAAGTACCATTTGCAAAGTATTTGCAATTTGGGTTTTGGGATGTCGGGCTTGCGATTGGGAGCTTGGCGCTGGAGTGTTTCGTTTTCTTGAATTGTTCATGAATCTGACAAGGGTGCTGGACATCAGGTTTTGAACATAAGCTGAATCCTAGCTGTTGCTTCTTGTCTGTGCGACTGATTCCAATAACTGTATCGACGCCTTGCTGCATCTTGCTCGTCTAGTTCCACACTTTCCGCGAATCTAGAAAGCACTGCAATCTCTCGTTGACGGGCTCTGTACCTCGTCGAGCAAAGTTCGCACGGAGGACAGATCGCTTCTACATTTTGCAGCTCCGTGGCCTGCGATCCTGCTGCCACTGCAGCTCCGCCAGCACTGCATCATATCACCTGCGGGCCATAGATACCGAGGAGGTTCGGGCCCCGTTTGATCACGAAAGCTACTAAAGCTGAGCTTGCGAGAGTTGTTCGTAAGCACAGCTTTGCGTCTGCAAATGTCTGCAAGTACCGTTCTCCTTCCCGCCCAACCCCCTGGTGGCAGGATTTCTTAGGCACCAGGCCTTCTTTCTCAAACGGCACTGGGAATGGTCTCTCATTCAGCCGGAGGTCGGGGTCTCCCCCCTCCAGCTTAGGGCACCCTCTTGAGTCCCTCTTAATTCACTTGAAACGTACTGCGCAGAGACTGCAACTAGGTGTGACATGTGCTTGGTCAGGGAGTTCAGTGCAGAGTTGTGCGTGACACAGCTTTATGCGTTTTTCGGTGGGCACGGCTCGGGCACGACAAGCACATGCGCTACACAACTTGCAAGATTCGGAGATACACCCTGACTGATCCGGCCAGTAGTAGCAACGGTCCAAAATAAGAGCCAACGAGTTTGTTTGCCTCCGTCATCCCGCCGAGGTTTCGCAGCCACGACATGTTTCGAAGAACCACGTAGGCGTCAGTCAGGATACTCTGTCCCATAAGAAGCTATGTGCATCTCTTCGGATCGGCGAGCGGCTTCGAGATTTGATTCCATACAGGTGCAAGTGCCCCGAGAGGCGGCACGCTAGTTACACTGCTCATAAAGGGGCTTGGTGCAGTATTCGGTTGCGATTAGCGACAGTCAGAGATGAATGACAGCAGAGGCCTGTCGCGGTCATGCCGTCGGTGTGCCCACATGCATTCTAAACAGCACACGGGCGCTGTTTTGGCCGGGCTTCGAGGTGCCAGCCCGTTGCCGACCTACACTGAAACAAACAAGCAGCAGTAACCAGCATGACGAGTGGCAGAGGATAACTTTTCGAACCGAGCAGAACGGAGGAGTGAAGAACTGGAGCATTGTTATCACCAGCGACTCCAACTATACATGCCAGCTTCTAACTACTTTTGCGTGTCCGGTGCCTACAAGACCTGATTAGCGACTCGTGGGCTTTAGGATAGTTCAAACTCTTTGCCTGGGCCACTGAGGCTCCGTGAACTGCCCGCAGCCATGGCAGCTTGGCATGTCGCTTCCGTGCAGTTCGGACAGGGCGAGAGACAGGCTCTAAATGAGGCCCAGGTCGCTTGCAAAAATGTCGAGTGTCCCTGGTCAGCCGTCGTGCTCTCGTCTCTCGCGCCTGGCAAAGTCAGATTGCAGCAACCTGCCAGGTGCTCGCCCAACTCCGTCAACAGGACACTGCGGGTGACACTCCGCTTCACAGAGCGCTGGCGGCCACTCGATACGACGAGGAGCCCGGGTATTGGAGCCGGGAATGCTAAAATACGGAAATTGTGGAGGACGAGAGATTCCCTTCGCACGAGGTTGTTCATCGCCGCACTGCTTATTCCTGCGTTGCGCTGCCGGCAATGGAACGGTGGATACGATGGTAGGTTATGTTAGGTCTGTATTCAATCGGTTCCTGCATGTCGAATGTTTCAGCATGCTTGACCACTTAGCGGTGTTTACGATGCTGGACCTCGCCTCGGAGGTGCTTTAGTCTAATGCCTTCTTCAAGGCGGTTGCGTCGACAGGTCCAGGTCAGAACCCATCCCGCGTCCATTTGGAAGGTGCTTCAGGCGCTCCATATCCTTGCGCAGAGAGGGCTGACGTCTGCAGGCCCCTGGAAGTGAGCATTTTTGCGGGTCTGGTATTTTGAGGACGACCTTGCATAGCCCTCACGGGTTAGTTCCGGCAGGCGGGCAGGCGTGGGTGGGTGGGTGGGTGGATGTTGCACATGCTGCATGTGAAATCCATTGCTCGATCACTCTTGGCCGTGGCGTCCTGGATCAGTGCCCTCGACCTATAGAAAAATGAGAAATGTTGTTCCTTCATCTCGTTGTGTCTCAGATCTGGCTGAGACCAGCCATGCACCAAGCGTGTCTCGGTACAGAGGTCCACCAGGAGGAAATGAAGCACTGCA